AAAGTTAGAAAATCATCGTGAATGACTATGCAATTTAGATTCTCACGTGGTCACGCGATCGATAACATCTGCACGTGCAAGATTATGTAATACAACAAAGATATAAAACTGACTCTCTACCCGGAGTTTACAGTACTCGGTAAAGCGTTCAAGATGGTGTCCTCTCATGTTGTCCGCTCTGTTTTCACTCTTCTCACTCTCATTGCATACATCATTATGATGATCGTGAATGCTTTTGCTACTCCTCGAAGAAGACCAGAGTTCCTCGCTGATCTGTATGGTAGCAACCTCTCGACCGGGGATGTTTCTAGAATGTATAGTTCCAAAATCACTCCAGCAGGATGGGCYTTCTCGATATGGGGTGTAATCTACACTTGGCAAGCATTGTGGATAGTATATTCTCTTAGCCTGATCTGTAGACCTCAAGTTCCAGACGTTCTCAACTGGTTTTTCCATGTATTGTTCATATTAAGCTGTGCCTTCAACTGCACATGGCTGATCATTTGGCAACGACTCCATGTTACAGCATCATCGATCATCTTGTTTGCTTCAGCTTTCAGCCTGTACGGACTATTAGCTACCTCGTATTACCGCTTTAACAAACTTTGCAAWGCCAACTTTCCCAAGATTGACTTTATTGCTATCCAAGCACTCGTCCACAATGGCATCGCCTTCTATGCAACATGGTGTACAGTGGCTTCRTTRCTAAACATGACGATTGCTATTACCTACGTTCATGGCGTTAAAGCAGAGACTGCAGCCACGATCACTTTGGCAATCCTTGCAGTTGAAATCATTGGATGGTTTATTGTAGAAAACACAGTGTTGGAGAAGTATCTACGCTATACAGTGAGCCARTACCCCGTGTTGATAGTTGCATTGTCTGCTATCATTTCAAAGCACTGGGACTCCTCCAAAAGAAATCCAATCATTGCTTTAGTCTTGCTGATACTTGTGCTAATATTGTTTGTTGCCCGATTGGTCCTCGTTGTTTACCGTATTAAAGAAAGTCGAAAAAAGAAGTCTGAAGATTATGCCTTCAGAGCCTTGTAAACATTACGTAACATTGTCACACGACATTGCGTGACATCAACAAAATAAACATGCACAAATAAAAAACCATTATTTTCGAGAGCTGATTATTTTTGATTCATAGTGATGTAGCAACAAATTTCGAGGTATTAATGTAATCTATAATCCCTGTTCAAAGTTGTAAAAGCATTGTGATATTTTACTTGTTCAAGGCTTTGGATTTTTTTTTGTAGATAATGTAAAAATGTAGGTATAAATATTTTTTCATAGAAATAAAAGCATATTRCATCATAAAAGATATGGCTGTTTACTACATTTACCAGTGATTCCTGGAAAATTCCTGACAACCCAAGACCCATTCAATACCAACCCAGTCAAGGCACTTCCCTGAGAGTACAGAATGGCATACTTAGAACATTTCAGATCAGAGAGTGAAAGCTCTACAGCCATCCATCACTAGTCATTCTTGTGCTATTTAACTACATTAGCTATCCACTTCCCACTTGCAAATACTTGTATTTCTGTCAAATACATGCTTTTTGATAACCCATGTTCATGAAAAACAGTCAAACATCTATTATTGCCATTAGTCACATTTATCAGTTCGAACTTAATGAATTTCAGCTAAGTTTCATTGTATATGAAATTTCAAGATACTTAATGAATAAAGAAAACCCAAGGCCATGTCAGTTTGTAAATCTTTAATATATGATTTCCRTACGATATGAGTAAGTCACTTTACAATATTGCTTGTTTACTTTCAATGTACAGTTCAATAATGATCGCTATTATCTACATCACTGTATCAATCTACYTTCTGACAAAAACTATGTCTGCTTACCAGTAGATAGTTGGTGAATAATATATCACGGAACAACTTTATTCAACAGATGTTTGCATAGTGCAAGTCAGGCCTGGGTTAAAGGTTGATTGCTCTCAATGACAAAAAACCTGGTCAACTCTATATAAACCATGGATCCTAGCTCTAATAATAATAAATTGTTACTGTTAAATTTACATTCATATATTATTAAATCTATTGGACTTTCTTTSATGCCCATTTTTACAATTCTGAATAATTTATATCCAATGATATTAAAAAAATTGGTAAATCAAAAGAGCTGGAAACTAGATTAATAATCATGGAAAATGGTTTAAATCCAGRCCAAATGCATGAATAGCTAAATAGTGAAAGACGGATGGCTATCTTTCATATTATATAGGAGTCATCAATATAGGCAATTACTAACACAATAATATAATACAATATACTTCACACAATAACTTATCTATTTTGATAAAACTTTGYAGATTTCTCCACAATATTAAGGACAGCTAACTACAGCACTCATTGGCTGTAAATAGCTAGAGGTTTATAAGGAGTGTCAAGTGCATTACCAGTCATGTATGACCCTTGAAAGACACACAACTAGATAAATCTCTCTAAAGTACATTACATCCATATAGAGCTACAATAATCCTCAAAGGAGGTTCAGGAGATGCATGCTATCATGCACTTGTTGCATACTACACTATTTTCTAATATGTTKTCAACTAATCTGGTGACACTTGGTTAATGAGCCTTAAAGTGCAGTAGTATTTTGAGCTCATATATTCTTTAAAAGTGGAAACATTATCATTTCCACAGGGTTTGAATTGAAATGAATGACAAACACGCAAAGTGTTAGCATAACTAGAGACGTATCTCTATCTGTCACTCAATCTCAACATGACGTGTAATCTTCTTTACACATTGCAAGTCTCTATACATCTGTGTATCTTACATCTATTTCAATGAGATTGGGCAGTTTCTGTTAAAGACAAATAACAAAAACTAAATTCATTGTATTGAAACTCTTGAGGCACACCAATGATGATACACCAATATTACGAAAACAGTATGATGATTTTAAAGATAGTTGCCATGATGATTAGGAATAAGATGGTTAATATGGTTGTGACGACAACGCTGTGGAATATGTTGTGTAAATAGCACTTACCTTMAGCCTTTCATAAAGGGCAGGAGACAGTTTTGTACTGTTAAGATTGAGATATCTCAGGCTTGTCATCACAACCAGTGATGACAGACCAACATCTGTTACTGGGGTTTCACAAAGGTTYAATGTTTCTAGATGATGTAAGTGTTCAGCAACCATTTGCAGTCCAAGATCACCAAACTACAACATGGAATAAATKAAATAGTTTTAAATCATCATTATCATCATCAGTGCAATCATCAGCATTTGTCATCATTATTGCTAATATTATCAAATGTAAAATTTATCATGACACCTGACCGTGATTATCCATCATTTGCAGTATTCACCATTGTTCACATAATTACCAGAAGTTTATCATGAATCTAACAGTGATCAAGGACTTACTTGTGTAGACCAAAGATTAAGATGTGTCAGTGCTGGAAGCTGTACAATATACTCGGCACATGCACTTGTAATATGGGTGAATGCAAGGTTTAGACTTCTTAGATTACCAAATGAACCAGATTTCAGGAGTCTTGCCAGATCTGCATCCTAATCAATGGAGGATTTTATGTCAAAAATCTCTATAAATCACTGAAAGCAGCTTTGATGACTTACGGTGGACTTGGTAGGAAGAGTAAGCACGGTKGGGCCACCTTTTTCAATCTAAAAATAAAAATACAATTAAAATACAAGAGTCTCCATAGCAAGAAAATCAGAAAAAACCTACCATTTCTCTGAACTTGGTTCTTCTACAGAGGGAAAAAGAATGACAATATTAAAATTCCTGGAAATGATTTGAAGTATATTGACAACATTGATTCTTTATTTTGTGTTATATTTAGTKTAGCTTTTCAGGTTGTACCAGATGATGCTCTGTTAATTCTAGTTTGTTTTCAGAGGGTTTGTTTTTSTGTGGGTACTGATTGTAATGTACTGCTGTCACCTATCTTTTCCCTAAATTCAGTGCTTTCTACATGACAGCAATACCAGGCGAGGTATGATATTGACAATGCCTTAGTAATGAAGCTGTCCTGAGTGCAATGGTACAACAGCCAGTATTTATGCAAAACATAACTGTTAATGTCTTACTTCTGGCAAAGTTGTTCATAGCATTCTCTTCCTTCATCAGTGCTCTCCAATGTAGAAACTATTTGAAGTTTCTCATTCTCATCTCCAAGCATCTCTACCTCAAGCATAAATGTCAAGGCCTGGAAGATGAATCCATATATGCAACACATCAGCCRTATTTGATGATGTAATTTTCTAGTTAATGTTTTCTTTCCTGATATGAACATTGTTTGGACCCAGCACAACACACAATACTTACATTTATAAAGGGAGAGTCCCCTCTCAATGCTAACAACATGAATGGACCAATGATGATCTCTTTAAGTTCTGTCAACATTTTCTTTCTTTTACCGCAGCAGTTAAGGAATAATGACATCTATAGATAACATAGTGGATTTTAATTCACCACTTAACACAAAAGGAATATAAAAGAAGATCATTGGAAATGTCATCTGTTTATGGAAACATTCCTACAGTTTATAGATAAAGACTGCTTCTTCTGTGAATATAAGGTTTTAATCTTTAAACCAACCTTTCGCCCTAAAACCTTAAAACCTTATAAACGCAGAAKAAGCAGTCTTTATTTWTAWACAAATGCCTGCGTACAAAGAAATTCTGAACATTCCTACAGTTGTTGCCATATCTTTTGGGCAAGGAATTGCTATTGAACATATAATGTAAAATGAATATAAATAASKTAAAAACCAGAAGCAAAAATGCAGWAAACTGGGAAAGGAAAGATGGCAAGCTTTAGTAAGAAACAAAGAGACTTGTTTCAATTTTGTTTCAAATAACTTACAATAAGAGAGAAAAAGTGTCCTTCATCAAAACAGGAAATCCCTCCAGGACAAAACATGTCAATCCATCCATCTTTGCCCTTCCTGATTGGCAAGATAGATTGATGAACCTGACAGTAGAAAACATACTAAGACTTAGTTGAGGTTTCTGTGTTTGATATAATAGGATCTCTTGTGGGATTCCTGTGTAAATATATTTATAAATGTTTTTCTGTGAAACTGAGTCACATTAAAGCAATCGAGATTACTAATAATATTTTTTTCTTATACATGTATTAACAACCAATGAATCTTCTTGTTAAATCTAAATTTTATCTAAATCTCATAATTTGCCATTTCTTATTTCTCAACTCATGGGATATAATCTGATCTATGATCAAAACATTAGCCAATCAGAGTGAAAACATTAGCCAATCAGAGTGTGAGTTGACTACATTGTAAAAAAAACACACACTATCATGGGGTTCCTGTGTCTTCTACATGACATAAAGCTGTCTATTGGAGCAATTATATTTGACTTGACAAAGATGTGACATATCTTACCTCACATCTCTTATCCTCAGCAAACAACTTTATCACACCACTAAGGTACCTAACAAAATAAACAATATTAACATGATGCAATATAATTATAATTATTTTATAATTAGAGGTTTCCTTAGGGTACCAGAAACTAATGAATTCTTGGGAATTCAGCTCCATTGATTTACATCTCTTGATTTGTGTATTTATTTCTGCATATAATTTGCACTTATAAAATATCATTATTATTACATGCAACATGAATAACTAGAGCATTCTTGGTACTTACAATACAAACGTTTCATTCTTCAAAGCTCTAAAAGATAAAATCAACATCAGTGGTAAATAAAACAGTGATTTAGGCTGTGATTTAATGAAAATGTAGTTCTTTTTGTATTATAATAGCAGGTCAGTAAATAGTTCACTGGAGAAGTAGACACATGGCAAACAAAATGAATATTACTATTTACACAAGACTTTTAAACAAAGATTTGTTAGCTTTCTAAAGTCAATAACCAAGAGATAGCTTTTTAAAATGTGTGCACAAGAATAAATATGATTTGACTTACTGCTTAGGGAATGGGATTGGCTGCAGAAGAGTTGCAAGACTAGGTCTCCAGTCTTCATACTGGGCACTAATACATCACAAAATAACAGTGAATTAGATAAAGAATAATTTAATAGTAAAACACAGACAAAACTGCTTCATATCATTGCAAAGTAATGCATGTRTACATACCAAGTATCTAAGACGGTCATAAAACACAACAAGAACTTTGTGTTTATATCAGCAACTTGAATCCTTAAYAAAAAATATGAAAATACTTTGAATAACTAATAAATACGTATTTTGGCAAGGAAATACTTAATATCACCAAACTGTCATGCAGTACCACCTCAGAGCTCTTAAATTATGTCATATTTCTTAATGGAATCACTATGGGTTGAAATCCCCATGACAGTGTCGAGTATTGTCTGTGCCATAATTTTTGCAATTGCATAGCCAAATGAAATCTGCTGTATTATCCACACATATGACAAAGAAGTCTTTATACTTACAACATCTCTGGCTGGTCAAATGTTGAATACACAGCAGCAAGAACTACAGCCACAAGGTTGGGTAACACCCTTGGGTGAGGACATACAGCACCAGGACTGTGCATACTGTCAAAAAAGCYCAAAATAATTAACACTTCAGAAGAAAATAATGAGAACAATATTAAACCAAGTAAAGACCAATGAGAAAATCACCTGTTGACAAACTCCTGGACATCAGTTGCACTTTCATTCTTGCTGTACAATGTGAAAATGTAATCTTGAACAAACATGCGAAGGTGAGGCAATTTACCAAAGTCCTAAAACATAAAAATACAGATTCCCATTTTCGTTTCATTGAATAGTTACAGATTCACATTTTTTTTTTAGTTTATTGATTATAGTAAGCCCCTATTTCCTATCTTTGAAGACACAGTAAAGAATCTCTGTTATCAAATTGTTAGAACAATAATCATACCATATTGTGTTTGAGAATTCTGTGAACAGCAGGAAGAAACATATCCAGAACAATGAAATACTGGGATTGACCTTTACAATGCTGTAGAAACAACAGAATCATTACATAAGCATCATCACCATCATCAT